AGTCTTTTATTTCTTTTGAGACAGTAGAAAATGCAGGTCAGTATCTTCAAGTGGGTGATCTTAAACTTGTGTTTGTGAACACTTACCAACTGTGAACCAGTTTGCATGCAGCAGCGTCGTTGCTTGTTTGTGCTCGTGAGACGTGTACGTGCTTCGTTTTCAACACTCACATTGTTCAGTGATAGGATTCAGATCCTCTTCTGCCTAAAAACCATCTATCGAATCATTATGGTTTGGTCAAGAAAGGACTCAGTCTATTTCCCAGCACTTGAAGTTTTTGGTTTAATGTCTTGGTTTGGGCTCGGCTATAGTGAACTCTTTATATGACATATTTGTAAGGATTGGGTTTTTATACTCTGTCTTATGGTGATTATCCCCTCCCCCTTTCTTAGTGTGTTCTTTGAACGGAGAAAAATGTAAGTAAATAGACTGCTGCTGCTTAACTTACTCGGTTCCCACATTCAAAGAAATCCCTTTGGCAAAGGAGGGGAAAGTCACGTGTGCTGCTGCTGAAAGCTCTGTGTGCTTGCAGGAATATTCAGTGGCTGCAAACACGATCCTATTTCAAATAAAATGTCTTATTTTAAGCCATCAGAGTTGTGGAAAGAAGTGTATAAAATACAAACAAATCGGCAAGCCCTCTCATCTGCTGACAAGTAATAAAACACTTCTTCCAGGCACTTGAAGTACTGGAAGTTACGCCTTAAGTTTAAACTAAGGGCCCTAGTAACTAGAAGCTTCGCTCCTAAGGCAGCAGAGTCTGTCTTTGCTGTGACATCCGTATGAGCTAAGAGTGTGACTGCAGGGTGGCTTTTGCCTCGTGTTGGAAGGAAACGAGCTCCCATGCCCTTCTGCTACTTCTGTTTGTTCCACTGCTCCCTCTGGGATCCTTCCTCTCCTCCCAGGACAGATTTCTCCTTTCCTGAAGGAGCCTCTTCCTGAACCAAAATCTCATTTATCCTTTTGCTTTTCACAGCCTCAGAATCAGCCTTTTCATTTGAGCTCCACAACCCATAAACATGGGGATAAATATCGAAGCCTGAACTAAACATAAAAGCAAACCATAACCGAGTCAGGCCTGTATCGCTGCAGAGTCCCTTGTCCCATGCGATTTATGGTGTGTAAATCAGGAGGGAGGGAATTCTTGCAGTCTCTTGTGCCCCCTTATGGTCAAGTGCCCACATTACAGAATACTATAAAAAAAAAAATCCGGTTTCTAATGGTAACACGAGATATACGTAGAGGAATCTGTAAATTACAAGCTGTACATCAAAGCCCAAAAAACTGTACGTCAAAAACTGCTATCTGAGGCTGGGTTATGGCTACTCTGGGCTGTTCTGTCACTGCCAGGTGCACTTGAACCCCTCTTTGCAGCACCGCTGCGGCGTGTGGGTAACTTTCTTCCCGCTCTGGCCACCAGTGGAGTCTTGAAGGATCTTACTGCGTCGATGAGAGTGGAGAAATATTTTGGTGCTTTGGAAAGGATGTCAAAAGCCTGAAGACTTTGCTGAGAAGAGCCTCAGAAAATAGTTGCAGGCTTAGAAAACGTGTCTTAAACTGAGAGAATTAAAACAGCTCAGTCTGTCATGGTTATATGGTACTACTATATAAGAACCTGTATAAGGAGAACATACCAGCTACCACCTAAAGAGCGCCTGAACCTAATGGAGACAAACCTGTCAGCATCCAGGGGCTGTGAGTAAGCTCTTCAACTGTAAGAGAAATAAAGCACGGCTTATCTTAAATAGCATTGGTTAACTGAGAATGAGCTGTCAAATACTGCAGCAGTGTCTTCAGGTCAAGCCTGAATCCTCTCAGCAGGCTTCCTGCAGCCCAGCGTAAGCTGCTGTGCTCTTTACAGCTCCTGCAGAGTGGTCAGAGCACACAGACAAATGGTTCCCTCTGGCCATAAAAACCCTGTCTGGCCTGTTACCTGAGCAGCTGTGCCTGATGCTGGCTTCTTTTAGTGCCTTCTGCTGGCCAGACTCTGCTGTTGCCCTGCCAGGTCACAGCTTGCCGGACAGGTTTCAGCTAGATAGGTATCTTGTCTGTCCCTCTTGCAATGCAGAATTGTTACTTCCAGGTAATTTCTAGGAATTTTCCTACAGACTGGAAATTGCACTGCTTTGTCTGGGATGTCTAGACATCACCCTGGGCTCTTTCTGCCTAGGGGCAGTAACGAAGGCTGCTTCCCAAATATCCCATGCTGTCATAGCAGGTCTCTGTTAATGCAAGGGAAGAGTTTAACCTCTTCCATTAGACCTGGATGCTAAGATTGGTTTGATTCTGCTTTATTCTGTCACGTTCATGCCCAAGTCTGGGTTCTGACAAATCCTAGCAAAACAAGTGAGGTTTGTTGCTGGTGACTTCTTCCTGTACCGTTTTCCCCCCTCAATGCCCAACCAGTAGCACTAAGAACAGCTCCTAATCCAGAGTGAAAGACAAAAAATGAAAGCAGAATTCAGCCAGTGTAGAAAGTGTTGGGTTTTATTCAGTAGCAGAGCTGTGCTCATTCCTTTTGCCACTAATTCATCTGTTCTGCAGGGTGGAGGTACATGGGGAGCTTTGAACTGCTGGCAAAAGTGGATGCGTAAGGAATCTCGGGAAGGGACCAATTCCTGCTTACACGCGATATGCACACGTCTGGTCAGCCTGGTCGTGGCTGACCCAGGCAACTCCTCAGCCACTCAGAACCAAAGGCAGTGGCTGTATTTGAGCCCCATGGAAACCTGGCTTCTGCATGGCAGCTCGATGCGTGCCCACTCTCCAGTTACTGCCCCTTTGCTGTCAGTAAGTGGTGTGTCTGTGGCAGAACATGACAGTGTTTCCATCGCTCCGGAGTTCTCCCTCCTCAGCAGCCACCAGTGGTCTGGTGCGGGGGGAGAACTCGGTCTGAGCAGCAGTTTGCCTGTTGACATGTGCACATAGAAGGGGAAAAATGTCATCTGAGGCTCAACACCTCACTCTGGGGGAGATGGATTCTGTGGCTTTGTAGCGTTCAGGCAAGTCGGACCACTTCTTTGACCATTTTTCCGATGCCGTCGTAGATCTCGTGGATGGGGGCGTTGCACATGAAGGCGCTGGTGGTCACCAGCTTGTTCTTCACATCCACGTGAACTTCGGTGACGTGTTTGTTCACGTGCTTGCAGCCAAGCTCCTTCATGGTGTCGGCAGTCTTGGCGTAAGGCCACCTAGGAGGAAAGAATAAACCCTGTGTGGGGAAGCCGTCGTTACCCGGGGCGATTTGACGAAGGCCTAGAATGAGAAGTCTGTTGGTTACAGAGATGAATGGTCCCTACAGAAAGCCTGCTCAATAGGATCCAAACCTTTTCCTCTCAGAGGAGTTTATCCAGGATGAGGAAAACCTCCAGCTTAGAGTGATGTAAAAATCTGAAGTAAAGCCAAAATAAAACCTTGATGTTCCACAATAGGTGTTCCACTACTTAACTCTGCCCATACTTTGTGTTTAGGTTTGGAGGGGTTTTTTCACCAGCTTACTACAAGTGACATTACTTCCTCACCCTTCCTAGCAAGATCCATGATGGGTCCTTCCCTGCCACTGGGAGAATTCAGTCACAGCTTTTCTGTGTGAGTCAGGGCAGTTTAACTCCCTCCCTCTCAACACCACCAAATCCTGTGCAACTTGCTGTTCCTACCTAGGGTCTGCTTAACTTACTGAGCCAGGGAGCTGGTCTTTCCTACCCTGGAGAGACGGGGTGCGGTGTACGCTGGGGAGGCAAATACATGATTGCTTTTCAGACAAAGTAATTTTAAGCCATGGGAGTTGTGGAAAGAAGTATACAAAAATACAAATAAATCAGCATGCCCTCTCATCTGCTGGCAGATAATAAGCCAGTTCTTTCGGGCACTTGAAGGGTTTCAATTTTTAAGTTTAAAGGGGCCTAGTTACTACAAGCTTCGCTCCTGAAGCAGCAGAGTCTGTCTTTGCTGTGACATCCGTCTGAGCTAAGAGTGTGACTGCAGGATGGCTTTTGCCTCATGTTGGAAGGAAGCAAGCTCCTGTGCCATTCTGCTACTTCTTTGTTCCACTGTTCCCACTGGCATCCTTCCTCTCTCCTCCCAGGCCAGATTTCTCCTTTCCAGAAATCTGAACTGCTTCCTGACTCAAAGTCTATTTTATTCCTGTGTGATTCTTGTGTTCTCTTGTGCCCCCACATGGTAAAGTGTCCCCATTGCAGAAAACTGTAAAAAGTAAAATCAGATTTTTCTCTTGTGCCCCCACATGGTAAAGTGCCCCCATTGCAGAAAACTGTAAAAAATAAAATCAGATTTTTTTGTCATTTACAGATTCCTCTATGTCTAAAACAAGTGGTACATCGAAAACTCGACATAGAGGAATCTGTAAATGACAAGTGGTACATCGAAAACTCTGATTATTTAATTTGCCAGCCAAGATCAACTTAATGAATGCATGATGTGGATCGTTGGTTCTTAGAAACTGTTCAACTTATCACAAGATATCGTTGAGATGGTGCACGTACGCTGGGGAGGCCTTGCTGATCTGTGATGTTCATGGTGTGATTTCAGATCAGCACTACTCTAAGGTTACTTACTTCTCACACTCTGTGTCATGACCCACAGTCAGCTCGCAGCCTGGGAAGATTTTGGCTGCCAGCACTGGGGAGATGCAGCACAGGCCGATGGGCTTTTTGGCAGCATGGAATGCCCTTAAGGCGTCCTCCACCTCTTTGGAGACGATGCAGTTCTTGCCTTGGGTGGCCCAAGTACTCAGGTTTTTAGCCACTCCAAAGCCACCTGAGAAAAGAGAAACAGATTAGACCAGAAAATTAGTGCTCCAGGGCAGGATTTTTGCAGGTTTTAATTAGAATGCTGAAATGGATTTGGTGGATGGCAGCATTTGTCCAGTGTTGATAGAAGAATTAAAACCAGACAAGCTGAACCTTTGTGAGCTGACTGCCGGGGGATGAGGCCTCAGAGCACTTTTCTTGCTTCCATACAGAACTGGAGAGGATCAATGCTCTGTTGGGTACTGTGTTTCACCCGTGAGCTCTTTTCCAAACTATAATGGAACATACTGACAAATTTTCTCTTATTCCTTGCTCCAGGCCTAGTCCGTCCCCACTGAAATCACCTGGCCATGCTTTCACTAAAGATGAAATGCCAGACTGATCAACCCTTCTGCTTTTGGGTCACCCCCTCTCTGTCCCAGCCTCTCCCCCTCGTAAGGAGGTAGGCGTGTTGGTGAGGGAGGGGGTAGTTTTAGAGGCTCAGTAGATAGTACAGAGGATAATTCAATTGGCAGTTATCTGCCCTCTCGGGATAAGCTTTGGCATTGCCATGTTCAATTGGCAGTTATCTGCCCTCTCCTCTTGGGATAAGCTTTGGCATTGCCATCTGCTCTTTTAATCTAAGTCCAAGCTTGCATGCCAGCACCAGCACAGATGGAAGTCTGTCCTTTCAGTCCCTGCTTCCAGCCTGCCTTCTTCCCCAGGGGCTCAGCCCAGTTCCTCTCCAGCCCATGACTCCATCTCATCCAAGGCTTATGGCATATCAAAGCTGTTCCCAAGAGTTTGGGCATGTGCAGAGCCTGCGTGCCGCCCTACCTGGGATGATTAGGGCATCCAGCCCCTTGACATCCAGCGTAGCCAGGTCCTTGATGTTGCCTCTGGCTATCCTGGCACTCTCTACTAGCACGTTGCGCTTCTCCTGAGTCGGCTGTCCTCTCACGTGGTCCACCACGTGCATCTGGTCAACATCAGGAGCATAAACCTCTGCCTGGGGAGGGAAGGGGAAGGTCTGTTATCCTTCAGCCATGTAACCTAAGCATGTTAAAGATCACAGCTAGTGAATGAAAACACTTGAGTTACTTTGGAAAGAACTTCGCTGGTGAATGTGGTGACCTTCAGGCTCACCCGATACCATCATCAGGATGGCTGTTGGCACAGGGAGGAGAAAGAAAGAAAGGTCTGATGTAACTTCTTCACAGGAACATTTACCCTGACTTTAACGGAATGAGGGTGGTGGTAGGTGAAAGCAAAGCTGCCCCACGCTGCTTGGCTTGGGGCCTGAAGTGCTGGAGAGGGAACAGTGACTCCTTTCTTAGCAAAACACGGTGTCCCAAGAGCCAATGGTGAAGCCATTTCTCAGAGGTTTCCATCCTCATCCCAAGCGATCCCCTTCAGTGGGGCAGCCCCAGCTGCCCCCACAAAGCCGGTCAGCCCCCGTGAGTGCTGACTACCTGCAAGCTGCTGTCAGAGTGCATGCCTCTCTCAAAGACGGGAGTTGGAGTTTCTTCTCCCCAGCCACTCTTTTCCCAAAGCCAGAGTGTTTTTTATTGTGGAAAATGCTTCCCCTTCCTTCAGAACTGTTTCAGATTCACACACAGAAGATAAGAGTGGAGGGTGGCAAGAGGTGGGTGATGGCTTTTGGGACTGTACAGTCATTGCAGTTCTAGACCCCACAATTAAGGGGGATGTTAAGGGACTCTAAGGTGTCCAGAGAAGAGGAACAAAGCTGGTGGCAGGGCTGGAAGGAACGTCCTGTGAGGAGCAGCTGAGGAGTTTGGGTTTGTCTGCTTTAGAGAAAAGGCGGCTGAGGGGCGACCTCATCACTCTCTGCAGCTTCCTGAGGAGGGGATGTGGAGAGGAAGGTGCTGAGCTCTCCTCCCTGGAATCCAGGGACAGGATGCATGGGAATGGCTCAAAGCTGCACCATGGGAGGTTTAGACTGGACATGAGGAAGCATTTCTTTACCAAGAGCATGCCCAAACCCTGGAACAGGCTTCCTGGAGAGGTGGTCGATGCCTCCAGCCTGTTGGTGTTGGAGGCGTTTGGACAATGCCCTTACAACGTGCTTTAATTTTGGGTCAGCCCTGAAGTGGTCAAGCAGTTGGACGAGATGATCCTTGTAGGTCCCTTCCAACTGAAATACCGATGCTGTGCTATCCCTTGTTTCCTTAGGCAAGCACGACTGAAAATAACAGGAGGCGTTTGGAGTAACGCCTGAGTTTCTTCCACTAGAGGCCCTTGCTGACCAAGGGATGAGTGTAGGACGGTGCTCTGAGCCTGCCAGTTTTTTTTGGGGGGAGCCACTGCAGCCGCTCCAGGAGAGAAGAGGCAAAATTATACAGTGGAGAAAAGGTTTGGGCAAGTCTGAGCTTTAAACCAGAGGATAGACGCTTGGAAGGCTCTGGAACTGGGTGGGCTGGCTCTGCAGCACACGTACATCACTGCTGTGACTTTGTATTTACTAGAGTCATTCCGATTCCCAGGAGAACGACTCTGACCTGGATCTGTGGGTGGCTCAGAGCTGAGGGAAATGTTACACAGGGCTGCTCTCTTCCACCCTCGCAGCGGCTAACGCGACTAATAGCGTATTAGAGCAGCTGAGGGTCGCTGCCTTTACCCCTGTTCAGCTCACAAGAACTTGTTTGTTTTCATTTCTACTCTTTGGGCTTTTAAAAAGAAGAATTTCCAACAGCCAAAACCAGTAGCAGTCTTTTAAACAGAAATACCAAAGTAGAAAAGAGCAAGTGCAGGCCAAAAAGAATAGTGAATGCACTTAGGAAAGTTAGTTTCAGAGGTTGGATATGCTCAGAACAGAGCACCGCGCCAGTACTCTCCTACAGCAAAGCTGTGAGAGCGAAGCAGAGGGCAGGGAGTTCTCCCCGCTCGCTGCAGCAGCTCCTACTCTGCGCCGTTGGCTTTGAGTTCAGCCACTCACGCTTCGCAGTGACCCTAAGCAATGGGGAGCTTGTGACTTGTCCGGCAAGCTGTCTCTGACAAGAGCCTTCCGCAGGAGAGAGAGACTGCAAAGCAGGGCAGGGCAAAAGGAGCCAGAGATGGGGCAGGAGCCTGCCAGGGTGCCTCTTACCTCTGCCCCCTCCCTGCTGAGATGCACCAGCACAGCAGAAGACTCGTGGATCTCGCTCCCGTCGTACACCCCGCAGCCAGCCAGCACGACAGCCACTCTCTTTCCCATGGTGACAACCGGAGCAGGAGGATTCCCTGGAGAGCCCCAAATTGCTGTGCCGCTCTGATCACTGCCTGGAGTCTTTTATAGCACGATCCCTCCCCCAGGAGCAGGTGGGGCCAGGAGGGTTGGGCCGAATCTTACTGGCAAGAAGGTTTTATTTCCAGTGCCACAGGCAGGCCATGTAAATATTATTTGTTTCCTTAACTGACTGCTCCCTTGCAGATCTTCTTCCCAGCACGTTGTCTCCAGCGCATCCCCAGCTGACGTGACCTGTTCAACAGAGCAGTTGTGCTTTTCCTTCCCAGCTGTCCATTTTACATTCTGTTTGGGACTAAAGTCCCAAAGTCTTTGCACATAAGATGGTATCAAAGGGAACCGGCCCAGAGCAAGTATCCAAGCCAGTACCTTCCTCCCTGTGCGCCGTTTTTTAAAACCCTACAGTGCATAGGCAGCCTCCGGTCTTTTATCACCAAGATTTCCTCTTCTGACCTTGAATGTTCTTATCCTTATATTCCATCTCTCAGGAGCAGACATTTTGCACCCAGTTGTTGTTGTTTCTGGGCCTTTGGGTCCTGACGTTAGAAATTAATCGCTTGATTCTTCATCAACAGCACCATCTCTCCGTTTGCCAGGAAAGTGGAACCAGGAACTGGCAGAGCCCTGACCTCTGAAGGGGCACATGGCAGCAAGATTCACTGCATGTGATGGGGAAACTCCTTTGCTCATGCAGAGACTTGTTACTCCTTGTCCTCGATATATTCATACCTGAGATGATTACACACCTCTCTGTTTCAGCTTTGTGCTGTTGAAATAACTGTGGCCTATTGAGGTTGTCTTACCATTCGCCGGAGAACAAAAAACTTCACACAACGTGACTGATAAATGTTTTTCAGGGGTTATTCATAAGAAGTTTTCCTTGGGTCTCTATCATATTTGGAGGAAACGTGAAGCACATCGGGTGTATAATGAAATGTAGCGGGCGTGAGGAAGATGGGCATTGCTAATGCATGTGGCTTCATTTATTGCACGCGTCTCTCACACTAGTGATACCAGGTACTACGTACTCCTAGTTACTACCTATACAAGCAGAAACAAAATAGCACAGGAGAAAGGACTTGCAGTCCAGCTAATCTAACACAGGCTTTTCCTTCCAGTTACTTTCATTACCCAGAACAGGAATTAAACTGTGAGATACGTGTGGAAAAATACCCAAAACCTTTTCACTGCTGTTTGTTTTGATATCTAAGGTATTCTAACAGTGATTTAGAAAAGTGTTTATTTCCTCTTGCATGAAAAACCAGCTGAACCATGCTGCAACTTGAAGAGATAGTTTCTTCCTCCTTCAGCTGCTTAGAGAGCAGTCCCGTTAATGATGGAACAAAGGTAGCCGGAGGCTGATGATTTAAACAAATCCACTGCTTGCTGCAAAACACATCGTGTAGCTCTGCCTCTTGCAAACTGACCGAGCTGGTTCTCCTTACTGATGTAATTGGTCAGAAGTAACTGGACAAACCAAGCTTGTTCCAACGCTTGCTTCCTCATGCAGTAAGACCTATCTCAATAGACATATTGAACCTAAAGATCTGGCTGCAATGAACATGGATAAATAATAGTTTTCAGCTGAGTTCCTCCATTCTGTGTGGGAATGGCTGCACAAATTCATTATGGTGGAGACACTGGGCTTTAATATTAACACCTTTCTTTAATCTGCATTAATATTGTAGTGAAGATGAGTGTGAAGGAGCCCTGTTGCCTCAAGACTCTTGAAGGGTGAATGCCATTAAAGATGACTGTCCTCCAAAGCACTGAAGGCACTGGGAAAGTTTGGGAGCCATTGTAGGGATCCGGCAGTGCAATGGAAGCATGCTGTCATGCTCCAGCTGGCTCGGAGAGCAGGGTCCTCTGACAGTGTCTGTGGACTCTGACAGTCTGAGGTTGTTCTGGACGCTGCTACAGATCTAATGCCTCTTGGATGCTCCTGCTCCAGTCTGTGCAGCTCTAAGTCCCACTTCCAACAGTTTTTTTGCCCTCCAGCCCTGGCTGTGGAGCATGACTTACTGGAGAACATAGAGCAGGATCTGCCAAGAGGAACATCCCAGCTTGTGGCTGTAGGGCCTCTGCAGAGTTATCCTAGACCAGCCCGGTAATATTAGAGTGAAGCTCTTCACACTGTGTCTTTTCTCTTGCAAGAGGCTGAGTGTGGAATTTGCTTTAACTGGGGCTGGTGGGAACAGGAGCAGAGTCCTTCATGGGAATAGGTCCGTTGTGCATAAAACGATGGAGGAATGTACATAAGTGCAGCGAGGGTTGCCCCTGTTTTCTATCAGAGCTCTGTTTGCCCTCACAGAACAGTTCTCTACCCAATTCCCACTTGACATGTGACCCAACACAATCCCAGGGCCAGTGTTCACTGCTTTCTGCAGCCTCCGCTGCTGAAGACCCTGATGTCCCGATTGCGTATGCTCCATGGGAAGCAGTAGGAAGCTGTGAGTAGGTCCGTCACGTGGCCTTCAGGATACAGCAGCGATCATGGCAATGGCAGATACTCACTCACCACCTGCACAGTTCTGGAAAGCCAGCAAGGCTCCTCTGGATTTATCCCCACACCGATGGTCTCCAGACTGCATGTTTGCATTGACACCTCGCAGGAGTTCCCTGGGAGTGTGTGCGGAGAGGCTGGATTAGGAAGGTGTGGAGTGACACATGGATAGGAGTCACCTTCAAGGGAATGGCACCGACTCTGCCCTGGGTTTGCCCAGTGAAGGACAGCGGTGCCAGGCATTCATAGCTGTGACAGGGACAAACAGCAGGACCACGGCCAGTGTTAGGAGAAATAACGGATCCCCAAGGAGCTCCCGGGCTTGCAGAGTACTTGTTTGCTCCAGCAAGACGCATTCTTTAAAAAACCCTTAATTTTAACCAGTGTAATTTCCTTGCTGGCAGTGGCAAAAAGGCAGTGATAGTAATAAACTCTCAGCGTTATTTTTCAAGTGTCCTTTTTAACAAGGGTTAATCAGCAGTAAAATTAACAGGCCCCTGGAGGGAGCTACCAGCAGCCCTTGCTGACTCACAGACCGAATTTTATTGCGGCAAGGAACTCGTTTGCATTTCCTCCCGCATGCAGAAAGGAACAGAAGATGT